CTTCGGTTATTTCATTGTCAAAGGATGGACGGATCTGTGTGAAGATATTAGCAAAACCTGGAGCAAAGCAAAGCAATATTACAGGTTGAACAGTGATGTGTTGAGCCATCTTAAAATAGAAACTCTCCTTTCATATCCCGCATGCATTTATTAAGCTGTATATAAGCTTAATGGAAGGCTGCTAAATGTTTTGATGAATTCATGTGATGCGTAAAAACATGCACTAGGATTAGCTCAATCAGATAGTAGGACATTGCATGTTCACTCACGTAACGTTGTGTGTATTGCTGTATAGTAGCAGGTCAACATCAGCTTTCAAGCAGGGCTGTCAACTCCCCACGACTTCCAATATTGAGATTTAATAGGGAAGGGATGAAAGATGACGTCATAACACAGGCACATAACATCATTTGTAAAGAAAACACAACGCGCAAAAGAAGTTGTTTGCATTCCAACATTTGACCTGCCGACTGGCTTCCTTTCCACCAGTCACATTATTGCCTGGATTATGATGGCATAACAGAGTTTATGAGGAAATGTTCGATACTAATTGTACGATAGCTCAAACAATGCAAAATATTTGAAATTTCATAATTTCTGGAAAGGTGAGTCTACGAGAAATGGCAAACTTCGGCAATAATATCATCCGGGCAATTTCAGACTCTAATCTGCAGACCGGGATATACAGTCCAAAATGTGGAGTCTCCTGGATTATCTGAGAGAGTTGACAGCACTGAAATGATAATGATGGTGATAATGATGATGATAGTAATGATGATGACGACGCTGATGAATTTTCTTCTGTTGTGATGTTTTTAGGAAGTATAATAATATCTACTTTATCTCTTTTACAGATATTGCTTCAGATGGTCTTGGTGTCCAGATTTGAGCCCCTGCTAGAGAGGGTAAGGCTAATGAAGAACTGATTCGGTTCTTAGCAGAGGTACTGAATGTTAGGAAAAGAAGCCTCTCTTTGGATAAAGGATCCAAGTCAAGGCAGAAAATTGTCTCAGTTGAATCAACAGAAATCAACATGGAGCAAGTCAGGGAGAGATTATCTCAAAATGTTTTGAAAGAATAAAGATTGATACAGTGTACCATCTTTATGACTATTCAAAGCAGTGATGGTCGAGATTGAACAATGGTACAATGACCAAGCATTCAAGTATGTGAGATCCCGGGTGTGGATAGATTTAAAGCAAAAGGGCATAAGAAAAGCAAAGGAGCACAACTTTGTTGGCCAACAACTCCCAACATTGTTGGATGTTACATGATGTGTCCGTTTGCATACCCTGTTGCATGTTGTTGTGTGTTTTTGGGAGTTGGTGCGCAAAGTTTGAAACCAGTCAAACGTTTAGCCCTGTGCAAACAGACACAACATTGTTGGCAGTTGTTGAGTCCGTTTGCACGTAGCTTAATACTAACTGGCCTGGCACTGATGAATAGCCTGTCAATCATACTAATGAATTATGAATTGGGATGTATAGCTATTCCCATGGACAATGGGGCAAAACCATTTTTGGACCGCCATACTGATCTGTCTGCTGGTTTTCGAGAAAGTTCAGTTAGTGTCTTTTCTTCGGTTTTCTGATGATGGTGTTCACGTGTTTTTATTCTACGTGTAGTATCTATCTACGCTAGGGCGTGGTAACAGGTAAAATATCTGCCCTGCACCACTAGGCCCCAAGGAAGCCCCCTTATGGACGTTTAACTGTACTAAGGTCATGTGAACACAAGTTCGTGTACGTTTGAAATGCACCAAGGCTGTCCACATGGGAAAGGTATTTATCCTTCTAGATTAGCAAACTTATCCACACATGATGTAAGACGGAATTCGTTTGGAGTCGTTCACGTGTGGATGGAAGCAGTTAACGCGTTAAGTTTGTAGGCGCTTTAAAACTTCAACAAAACCGCGTGCACAAAGCTTTAGTAGGCTGATTTAGCAGAACAGGGACGTCAGTTTACGACGGCGCGCCCAAATTAAACAACTGGTTTGATCAATGGCAGAGCGGCAAATTGGGCACCGGAAGTCGAGTTGAGTCTTTTCCGCCCGCTTTTCCGTCGTCAAATAACGTTCCCGTTCTATTGCTAATTCAGCCTAGTGTCAGGAACAGGGAGCCTTCCCAAGAGTTTAAGTTGCCATATGCAAAAGTACACAAAGAAAAGTAAAATTTGGAGCCAGTTTTGTCGGTACGGATTCAAGCCTCGCCATCGGTTTGTTCCCGTACTTAGACAAGCAACTTTCCTTCACTTTGTCTCCCTGTCCACCCGGGATTATAAATGGTTACCAATGACATACTTCTACTGAGGGTAGTAAGGGTAATCCTGCGGCGATGCACTAGCATCCCATCCAGGGGGGGAGTAACAATACCTGTAGGTGCTTCATGTTACTGAAACCTCCGGTTAATTAAGTTCGGATGCGTATGCCTTATGACACCCCTGTGAGGGTAACCCTGCGGCGATGGCCTAACGTCCCATTCAGGTGGGAGTAACAATACCCCTAGGTGCTTCATGTTACAGAAGCCGGGGGTAAGCTTTGGATGCGCAGTCCTTACCGCCCCAAAGCGTGCCTTTACATTTAGGGCTAAAATAGAAACGTAAACTCAAAGAAAAGTACACTCCCTTTCTCCCTCTTATACACATCCTTTTTTCCCATCCGATTTTAGTGTATTTGAGTAGGTGTGGACGTGGTTTTAGAACACGTAGGGCCAGGTTGACAGTCTGAGGTTAGCCCTGTTTTCATCTCCTGTGAGCGTAATTCTGTTTGTGTTTGTGTTTTTTCTTGTATGCATGCATTTCCGATATCTGGCAAATATAAATAACTTAACCTTAAGAAGAATCCGTCATTTCACAAATTGTTTTATTCAAAATTCCTATTATTCATGTCTCGTAACACTCCACGCAACACTCTGTATGTACATTATAATTCACTCAAAAAACTCTATCTAACAAATTCTCTACCTTACAAAAATACCTAGATTTACAAAAATAGTTTTTACCATCACTGAAGCTACTTGAAGGTGATGTTAAGATTTTTGGCACTTAATAAATAACATGCAAAGGAAAGGAAAGTTTAGCGACACGAAATGCTTAAAAGAATTAACATCGTAAGATATGTTTCATAAGAAGTAGAAAAGTTGTACTTTTTAAAAAAATAAAGTATTTGAAAAGCACGGTATAAATCGCCAAAGGCCGCTTGCAAATACATTCTAATTACAGTTCATTACAATTCTATGATTCTTTTAAAAGTTCGCCTATTGCATACGAATACAAAAGCTTAAGTTACCATATTAAATTTACCTAAGACACATGCATGAAAATGCATAGTCCATATTTGAAATTACTGCATATTGAATTTATTGCATTTACTAATCTATGCCTAAAACGTCATATTGCTCTTGGAGCTCGCTACTTGAGAAAAGAAAAACATTTCTTCACCCAGCTAGCTACCCAGCTTTGTTGTGTCTAAAAGATTAGATTATTATGGTACCATCATCACTTGGTGTACCAACAAAAAACTTTCAACGCATATTGTTTGACACACAAGAAACTATTAGCAAAAGGAACATTTGGCAACGTCATTTTTTTAAATGATAGGTATGGTGCCGTAAATGGCGAAAAGGAAAAGGAGACAATGTACAACAACAAATCAAGATTATCTACAAAAAAATCAAGTTGCAAGTACTTTGAGAAAATCACAATACACGTCAGTGTGTCCATTTACAAATATGCATGGTGTTAATGAATCAAGAAATCCCTTGCCTCTGATACCTCATGGTCTGTAATTCAAGACAAAAGAATGCATAAAATTAGCAGAAAAATAAAAAGGTATAGAGGTGGTCACGTGGCCATCATCGTTAAATTCCCAGAGGATTTTCTTGGTACACCAATATAGCCGCCGTGACGTCATGTGAAAACGGTCTATAACATCAATTTCAACTACTTTACAATGGCTTCAGGGCTCAAAGTTAGCGACTAACTGGTCGCATATGCGACTGTATTTTTGGTTGTGCGCCAAAAAATTCATGTGTAATCGCACCTGTGCGCCGTAAAACCCAAAGCACAGTGCGACTGACTTACTTCCGATTATACTTACGAACTCGAACTAGAAAGACGGGTATGTTTAATTGGTCTTTTCTCCCAATGGATTCTACGAACTCGAATGTTCTTTTTTGTTTCGATGTTTTACTCCATCCCAGACTCTTCTGTTTTGTAATAAACACCACTGACACATGCAAATTTATGCTACGAACGAAACACGTACTTTTTGCGCAATGGACGATCATGTCGAACGTTCAGTTTTAACGTCAATCAAAATAAAAACAGTGCGGATTAAGAGCCTTTTTTTTCCAGGTAAGAAAGTTTTTTAAGTCGTATTAATTTTCATTCTCGTTCGACACACTCATTGTCGTCAGTTTTGAATTGTTTTTCAAGTGTAAGTTTTCTTTAGTCACAACTGTACGGTCAAAAAGAGAAATTAGTATTAAAATCACAACGGTATTACCGCGTAGCAAATCGGCTGTGTTTTATCAATCACAGGACTGAAGTAAAAGTAACAAACTGAAGATGACAGATAGACGTGGCACTGTTAAGCTTTTTACTTTTTCTTTTGAAATAGATGCTCCCAACATTATAAGCTGTGCTCCTAAAATTTTCAGCTGTGCGCCTAAAAATTTACATCTGGTAGCACAAGTGCTCCCAAACTCAAATTTAAACTTTGAGCCCTGGGCTTTGATTTCCTTTGGATTTCTTATCAGTTGGTATGTAACTGCCAGAAAATATTTTAAGTACTTGTTAGTCGGGTCGCCGGGTACTTACTAATACTTGCCTGTCGTTGAATAATTATGTATTCAGTTCATTGTCAGAGAAAGCAATGGTTTTTTAATCTTTCCTTAGGTATTAATAAAATCTAATTTATCAACCATACACCTGATCGTGTCATGACAAAATAAAAATCGTTCCTTGTATTTTTTTGTCATTTACTGGGCGCTGAAGTAATGTTAGTCAATATACCTTTTGGTCCTGTAATGCTCCATTCTTTGGCCAATATGTGGTGAAGAAGACTGCATAATAGATGCTGCTGAAGAAAAAAATGGCGATAAAACAAGTTGAACGTACCAATAGGGTACTCAGAAATGTCTGCTACGAACAATTACTCTTTTTAAGGTAAAAATTTTTAAACTCGTGAACTGTTCATGGTGACTCATTCAAGCTTCGAGAATTTTTCAGTTTGAAAACTGACATGGTTATAATGTGCACCTCGTTAGAAAACTACAGAGTACAAAACACTATACTTAAAATCACTGTTAAGATGTCTTATAAGTGCATGTACAACAGTGTCTTGAAGCACTTTCTAGTTACACGTACGTGCTTCTGTGATTGAGAGGATCGATAGATAGATTGTCTTTCTAGATGACAATAAAAACAGTTAGGGCCGAGATACCGAGAAGAAATCCTAATCAATGCGTCACCTAACCACCGGCGCTTAAAAGTTCTGGCCCCGGTTGTTCAAACGTTGGTTAGCGCTATCCACCGGGGGCCGGTTGCTCGAAGCCTGGTTAGCGCTAACCGTTGGTTAAGAGGTATCAAAATGTATAGGTTTCCATGGTATTTAACGCTGGTTAGCACTAACCATGCTTCGAGCAACCCGGGCCGGGTAAATCTCTATCCAGCGGATAGCGCTATCCAACGTTTGAACAACCGGGGCCTGGGTGCGAGAGCTAATGGGACGCGCGAAGGTGACACGCGAGGGGAGAGGGAGCGTGTCCCCCTCGCGCGCCCCATTCTTTCTAGCGCCTGGAAATTGCTTTCAAGCGTCTACTACGCAGGAGAGTATGCATCACTCAGTGACATACAACAACTCACCATAAGCAGGGTCAAGGGTCCTCATAAGAGCTGGAGACATGTAACAACCCATGCGCGGGTCAGCTGCCAACCTCTGCTGTCTTATGAATTCCTCTTCAGTTAGAGCATCAATGTGGCCTGGTGTCAAGCGACTAACTGCAAGGTTGTTCGAGATGATGCTCGGATGAGCACGGGCGGAGCTGTCTTCACCTTTCAACTCCGATGCCCTATTAGACTTGGGTGAAACATTCTGTTCACTGGTGACACTGCGATTCCTGACTCTCTCCTCTTGAAACATGACTGGCGAGTGCCGAGATTCCTTTTCGGCTTCTTTTAGCCTTTGAAGCCTCTCATGTGATTCTGTAGTTGATAAACGCGAGTGGGGACTTGAGCGTGATGTAGGCGTTGATGAAGAACGGTCGCGATCCATGCCACGGTAAGGACTTCTCTCTTCCCTCTCCCTGCTAGTAGGCGCTGTTGACGTCACTAAGCTTGTTTCTCCATGGCTTGTCATTGGCATGCTCATGACCAGCCCGGGTGGTAGCCCCGAGAACTGAGAACCAACTAGCATCTGATGAGCGCCATACGGTAATGAACCCGCTACAGAATCACATGAAGATAGAAATAGTTAACAATCATCGATACTTGCATGTAGAAAACTTATTGGATTAGTTCTTGAAGTCAAATAAAATTGACATGGGAAGCTGAAAGTATTGTACTGTCAAATGTTATTATACGCCATAAAACTTGCCTGCGTCGCAGACGCTCTAAACCTTTTGTACAGACTATACAAATGGTTTAGATGAGTGCGTGGGCCGGCTGCAACGCAAGCTATATACTAGAAAGGACAACTTAAGAAACCCAAAAGGAGGAGTACAACGTAACAGCTAGTTTAAACGTAATCACGGTAAACCGTAAGAACTGTGAAAGTGATCGTTTGGCCGGGTAAGCGCTGTCCTGAATGTAACTGTTAGTGAACGTGACTGACATTAAAGTCGACAGCCACTGAAGGAATCATCATCAGAATTAGGGTGAATAATTGTGTATCATCAGCTCCCCCTATGTAAGGTAATCGAATCCCGCTAATGATTGACAACCTGGATGCAAGTTCAACTGACCAGGAGTCCAGAATGGGTAACAACCGGTTTCGCTACTTGTCGAATTCGGTACGTCCTAGTTCGCAACAAATTCGCTACATATTACTTGCTGTAAACCACTGAAAATATTCCCTTGATCGCTGTAGAAAAAAGTCTTTTATTATATTTGTCGTTGTTTTAAGCTCGCCCCTCCAAGGGTGCTAGTTTTGGACTTTGCAATAGGCAGCGAGACGAATATGTAGGTAGCGAACTCGAACGTAGCGAATTTGACAAGTAGGGAAACTGTTGTAAAGCCCAGAATGCAGTACTTGGAATTCGAAATCTGCCTTGGATAACCTTACGTGGGGCGAATCAGTTTATGATGTAAAACTCTGGCTGTTGACTTGTCAAAGCCCAACAAACCTGCAGACGGATCAAAGTTGCTCATGCCCAGTTGTGCCGAAAGGTACGCTTGAAACTGTGTCTTTTCATCGGAGGCTGATAAGCCGTCTTTGTATCGTGACGCTGGTATAGGTGACCTTGAAGGTCTGGGAGACCTTGATGCAGACAATGATTGAGATTTCACAACTTGACTGCGAGGAGACCCTCGGCCGGAAGAATTTTCTGCCTCAAGAGATTGATATGCCCCCTTCACAGTAGCTGATACTGCCTCCTACAATTTAAAAGATACAAAGTGATAACAATGTTTATAATACCGCAGACGAGATGGAACCTGCTAAGATTATGATTTTTACCTTGAACCTCCATTCCCCACTACTCTGACCTTACTTCTATCCACGTGTAGTATAGATCAGCAACGCACGACGCACGTTTTTATTAATTTTTTCTTTCTTTAGTGAACGTTTGTTAAAAAGTACAAAGGCAAAATGGCAACGATCATGCAAGGTGGTCAAATGTTAAGAAACCATCTTTTTTCTGTAAGTAGTTTTTAATCAGGTTGTGTTATCAAACTGATCGTTGTTGTCAAAAAAATGTAGATGCTATTAATTTCTATTGTGTGACGTTAAGTGTTTGATTATATTTTCTCCAACATCAACTCAACTACTGCAACTCCTGCCAAACATTACAAGGTAAAAAAGACGTAAACGAGACCAAAACGCAACGAGCTAATGCTAACAATAAAATCAGTTCCTTCAAGCACGTTAGTTTAACGTACTTTGTGTTAAAGTATTTCTGGAACCAATTAACTTAAAACGCGTTTCGGTGAAACACTTGGCTTATCTCTGAGCTGTAAGTTACGTCAAAATAAACACATTGTTTACAAACTCCTCTATAACTACAGCAACGTGCAAACCGAAGCAACAACTCCCAGCATTATCGCGCTAACAATGTTGCGTGTTGTTGTGTCCGTGTTTCAGTGGTGTGCAAACGGACGAAACAACTCCCAGCATTATTGCGCCAACAATGTTGCGTGTTGTTGCGTCCGCGCAGCAGTGGTGTGCAAACGGACGCAACAAGTCCCAACAACACGCAACAACATGCAACAGGGTGTGCAAAAGGACGCATCATGTAATGTCCAACAATGTTGGGAGTCGTTGGCCAACAATGCTGTGTCGGTTGCACGGGGTTTAATGATACACTATAATTATACATGTTATAAAAGCGGTAGCTAATTTCCTGACATTAATCAAAAAGAGTGTTTAATAACAAACCGGAGGTTTAAGATGAGCAGCCATTTCTCTGGTGCTCCTGACACCATTTTCTATCCCTTCACTTTCTCGGTTGATAGCAAGTCTGTCTGGCTTTTCAGGGGTGGTCTGTCGTTTAGGTGGGAAGCTGGCACCCATCTGTTCCTTTTGTAACTGCCTTAATTGGAGAACAGTATAAGGACTAAGCAAAGTACAACTAACGACTGCAATAGGCAGACTAAGAGTGGTAATTTCCAAGAATTTATTAAACAGATTTTAGACTGAGACTGCACCATTCCAAATTGTCGCTTCAGTCTATCCCACTTTACATACACCCACAGTATGGTTATAGCTGAGGGTTTTCTCCTTTCCGGCCCTCTCTTTTTAACTGTACTGTCAGTTTGAGACTGTGCAACCTCTCTTTACAAAGCAACTATTACAGTCAAATCTCTTAGATGGACACCCCTACCCTTGCACCAAGAATCTATCTTGGTGTCCACCTTAAAGAAAGTCAAAAAAAAGTATGGAGAACAGTTCTAGGCGTACGTGTTAGAGAGGTGTATCTTATAGAGGTGACTGTGTAATGGAGAGTTGACTGTACCCAACTAAGTATACTTTAGACACCACTTCAAAGCTAAAACATCATCCACGAAAGCCTGAAAGCAAGGGAGCAACTCGGGTCAAAAACAATAAAAAAACATAAAAAAAAGCCTTTATAATGCTTCAATTCACTTTAAAAACTTAACTGGCCATTTTGTGCTTAAAGCTGTGCTTGAGATTGGGTCGGTATTGTGTCGAATTGCACTATGGGATTGTTTTGGGGATGCTGGTGTATGGCTTCTTTTATTGGCTGTTATCAGGGTGCACAGGGAACTGAGTAGGACCTATCCTCAACACAATCCCATGGTGCAACTCAAACCAACACCTGCCCAGCTCAAACCTGAATAAAAGATAAAAAGAAAATGGTTCTTACTTTAACATTAACATTTGTTGGTGGAGTTTCTGCTGCTGAAGGAATTCTTCCAGCTCACCCTTCTTCTCACTGGCATCATCTCTAAACCTCTTTTCAGCCGGTTCATCTGCTGAGGGTTTTGACATCACTTTAGGGGACAAGTTCTTGGAGACGTAGCGTGAGCTGTCACTCTGACCGGCAAATCTGCGCAACTCCACGTCACTGACATCCACGTGAGCTTGAGAAGTCTTTTTGGTACCAGATTCACTGATTCTTCTGTCATCTTGTGCTCTGTCACTTGATTTGGGAACATCTTTTTTCTCAAAATGTCTGGATTCTAGGTGGCTTGAACTACCACTGCTTCGCTAAAAATGATGGACATTAACAATACTTAGAAAACAGTTATAACTGCATGCAATCCTCAGCAACTCATTGTTGTCCCAGAAAATTGCTACTTTGTTGCTTTTATTTAATTTTTTTCCCACAAGGATAACTTTAGAAACATAAACAAGACCATATGGAGTGAAATCACAAGGTGTGAAAATTCTTACAATCATGTCCCGAGGTAACTAGCAAAACCAACAGGAGATGTATTTTTCAAGAAAAGGAGGGGAGAATTGGGTATGTTGCACCCTCTGAAAGTTGATTTTAACAGGAAGAAAGGCAGGCTGCACCTATATGGAAATTCACAGGAAAGTAGAAGTGGTTAAAAGGTGTTAAGAAAGAAACGCAACATGAACCTATTTACATGGAACCAAGTTCCTACCATAAGGTGACAACATGTAATTTACACTGAAGGATACAGAATAGCTAAGCACACCATTCAAAAAGACAAACAAGCGGGTAAACGACAGTTGGGAAATTATGTTTTACATGAATTGGGCTTCAATAAATTGTGCAACCATGCACCTGTTTCTCTTGCTCTAACATCATTTGCATCCACTGGGCAGCAAGTGCTGCTTTGGGGTCAGCGATTCCCTGTAAGTATGCCAGCTGGCTGAGGTTCTTTACCATCTCTAGTGGCATGCTGCCACCCTGCATGAATGGCTGATAGTACTGCTGCTGTAATGTCAACTGCTGTTGAAGCTGCAAGTTTCTCAACTGCTCTGCAGACATGGGTTCTTGTGACCTGAAGCTTTGCTCGGCAGCAGAGTCCCTAGCATCTCTTCTCTCCCTTTCTTTTTCAAGTCTTGACTTGTCTTTTGCAAGATCCTCTTTCACAATAATCACATCTGAATCTTCCCTAGCGCTATCTTCTGACCCCCTTGCTTTGTGATATGAAGCTACTGGTTGAGGACTTTTTCGGTCAGGTGGTGTTTTTGGTACAGCTAAAGAGCGTGACACTGGTGATTTTGATCTTCCATATGGTGAAGGTGTTCTCATTGAAGTCTCACTTTTCCTTTCACTTCTCATTTGGTCACTCATTCCTGAGGTCTTAATCCCTAGTAGAAAAGAAATGAATGAAATGATCAATAATATGTACAGCAAATTCTCAAACACTGCATGACAAGTGGTTCTCTCTATCCAGTTGTGGAGGATGATTGCCTCAGAGGCCAAACACAGCATCTAAAAACACAAATTAGTCACTTACACATCTGTAGTCCGAGAAAACAGCTGACATTTTACGACGCCACCACTGGTTTACGTTGACGTCTGAGAAACAAGCACAGATATTCCATACTGATGACACCTCACAGCTCAGATCTGGGTAGTGCTTCTGATTGGCTTAAGCAAATTTCCCACGAGGCAAGATCGACCAGAAGCACTACCCAGATCTGGGTAGTGATGCATCAGAAGTATGAAATTTCTGTGCCTGTTCTCTCAGATGTCATTTTACAGGGAAACCAGTGGTGGCATCGTGAATTGTCGACTGTTTCCTTGGTCTAACAAATCTGATGTTTTGTGCTGTGTCACATGACATCACAGCAGCCATATTGGTGTTCCAAACAAATCCTGTGGGAGTTGGTCTCTTTTCTTATGTAAAAAATTTCTTTGGTTGCCATAAATTTGCATGGATGCTGGCCACGAGTGAATACGCTCTATACTGTTATCAAGTTTACAATAGCATTTAAACCTGGTCTGATGATTGGATGAGCTGATGCAGATCCCTGGGTTTTAATTCCTGGTCCAGTGGTTGGTAGAACAGGTGGCAGACCAGAATGAATGGCAGGACCTGGACTCCTCTTCGATAACACTGGTGATACCTCACCCACTGGAATGGGCACTTGGAGAGTATTCATTTGCTTCGTTTTGGACTCTGCTTGAGGCAGATCTGCAGGATCATCATGGGCACTTGGAAGGGGTCTTGGAGAAGCGATGCTGTGGGATACTGGTAAGGCACAGTTTATAGAAAAATGTTTTGAGTTTCAACAGCCTGTTTGGTATTCATGATTTTAGTTATTTTATTATTAGTATTTTTGCTTTGGTTTCATTTCTTTCAGAGTGTTCACTTTATGAGCCAGTCACAAAGACTAGCAATTAATACAAAGATATTACATTAAAATAAATTATTATCTCACTGTTCTCTTAAGGGGAAGTGAACAGGGGTTATTATTATTATACTGAGTTACAAAGCATTGAGATATACAGTATTATCTAGTGCTATGCACCAAACCTGAGGGGACAGTTGTTTAGAATTAACCAAATCAGTTGAAGTAAAATGAAAAACCTCAGAAACTTGCATCTTCATAAATTTATTGCAAATCCAAAAAGAAGGTGATTTTTTAACTTCCAGTAAACAATGACAAGCCAAATTTCATTGCTTTCTTAGTATTTTGTGGAACAGCTTTTGCCACAGAAACCTTGTCTTCTAAAACTGTTGCAAAATAAGATGCCATTTTCACTCCCATGCCAAAAAGGTAAATTATAACCAAAAATATTGCAGTTATGGGAGCCAATCAAGACAGGAAAACTGCTTTTCACTGATTTGGTAAAGTCTAATGGGTAATAACTTATGTTTATAGCTATGCCTTACATAACAAAGAACAAGAGGAATGTTACCTGATGTAACAGATGACCCACCAACCGATGTCTTTTGTTCAAAGCCCTTTGAAAGACTTGATGCTAACCCACCATCTGAAGCTCTAGGATATGGAAGGGCCACACCAACAGGGAGTGATGGTGGCAGTGAATTACTGTTTCTTGAAATTAATGTTGGGTGTGGTCTGGAAAGGGCTCTGGCAGCTGTCTTGTAAGACTTTTCATGATTTTCTGTTTCTTGGCTAGGGTACAGACTTTTCCTGTTACCAGTTGAGTCATTATAACCTGGTCTGCTCTTGGAATCCACAAATGCTGTTTTTGTGTTAGACTGGTTCAAGTTCACTTCTTGTTTAATTCCTTTTGTTCCCTCTGTATGATGGAAATCATGTTCCACAATCACAGGTTGAAAAGGATTTGATGGCTCTTTCCTGTCTGCTATTGAGGAATGCAATTTAGCGCTTGAGGTTGAGAAAGAGGAGGGTGATTTGGAGTCAAACCCTGATCTTGTAGAAGGAGACAAATTCTTCACAGTGCCAGTAAATGAAGTTGCCGAGCTTGGGCTTTTTGTCCTCAACTTATCGGGCAAATTGGGATTTCTGTTGAAAGCCTCTGGAGTTGGACTATGGGTTCTAGCAATAGTGGCAGCAACACGAAGCTCATTGTTTGGGATCTTACTGATACTAGTATTCTCTTCCAACTCCAAAGAATTCTTAGCATTCCCAGTTGTTCTTATGCTCTCAGAGGGTAATTTGCTACAATCTGAAGTCAGCTCAGAACTACTTGTAGCTCCATTACGCAGAAGTTCTGGATATCGAATAGGAGCTAGAGTAGTTTTTGACTCTGTACTTCCTTTCTTATCCATATTTGACGTCCTAATGCATTTATCATAGAAGTCATCACCATAGTTTCTGCATTCAAAGACTCGGTATCTCACTGATGGAGCATCAGTATTAGTTAGTGGTGGTTCAATTGCACTACGTGAAATACTCTTAGAAACAAGATCCTCTGTGGAAATTCCTCCACTTGTAGTCTTTGGAGTCTTGTTTTCTACAGCTATTAACCTTGTATCTGTGTTCCCTTGCAACGTCACTGATGACTGTGAAAGAGAATTTGTGGACTTGCTCCAAGCCTCAGTTTTTATACTTTGGCACTCTGACAAGGATTTGGTTTCTTGCTTCACGTTTCTCTTACCATCTCTGTCAGTGTTCTCATTTCTCATGTCAAAATAAAAGCTGCTTCCAAGCTTAGTTCTTAGTGAATCAGAATTTGAGAAGCTCTCACTGGATTTCATTTCTGGTTTCTTTATCTGGGTTAGGCAGTGCCCTGAGTCAGGAAAAGAGTTCTCCCTTTCTTTCTCAGACTTTACTTTATCAGTAGCCAAATCTTTACTGGTGTATTCAGAATCTGTGGTAAATAATTGTTAAGGAAAAAAAACTTGTCAGGCACTTATTAAAGGTAAATTAAACACAGTACATTTATGTTTACATACATGATTTATTATTTTTATATAAATTTGTCATATTTAATTTGAACTGCAGTTGCCATTTTAACATATTATTTGTGCTTCTAATACTAATGAATGTCAAGGTATTAAACAAATGGCTATCCAGGTGTCCTATAGATATCCAGTCTTTAGAAATAACAAGAACGCTCTCAAAAGCATTTGTCCAACTTGCTTGGAGATTAGATAAGCCTTGAGGAGGCGATTAACTAGAAACAGGATTTCCTCTATAAACATTTTTCAGATCCTACTTCATTGACAGTTGAGTATTCTTCAGGATATTAATTTACTTTTTATGTCATATTTGTCTATTTGTTTTGTCAATCATATCCAATGTGCGTTTAAATACACGAAAATCAAGGGCCTCAATTCCAGAGAATTATTACATCATTGCCAAAGAATGAAAACAAATGAACACGGTGCATCGTTTCAATCATCGCTAAAAACAGCATGCTCACAACAATAATAATTAAAGACTCATTTGCATGATTATGAGAGTTTACAACACCCGACTCGTTAGCATCACCATCGAAGTTTTGCTCATTAAGATTCTTCTTTTTTTTGACCACTGAATAAAATTGAAAGGTTGACTGGAATAAGGCTTCAAATACATGTAAGTGATTTCTGGTAAATGGACACATTCTGCACCCACATTGCTTTGTATTGACTAGTAAAACAAAGAGAGAATTTGACTCTACATCAAAAGTCACTGAGCCTTATTCCATGTCCCTTACAAAATTAATGCTTTACACTTAACACTTATACACTGTAACCAGGTACTCAGTGCTGAAATAAAATTATGATGTTAACAAGCAAGTCAAATGGGCCTGGAGACTGCTGCCACTTAAAGAGATTGTGTGGAATCGAATAATTAACCAAGTGACACCTGATGTCATGTCAAATTCTCCCTTTGATACATAGGCATACACAGAAGACACTATGGGCCCCTTTTACATGGTGCCCCTACTATTAAACGTGTAAATTAATGCTTTTGTTGTTGCCTTACCTTGCCCAGGGTCAATATCTTCTTCATTCTCACTAATATCTTCCACTTCAATGCCCAGCTGGTTAATAAGTCCTACTCCAGTGTCAACAGCCTGACGTAAATCAACTGGCTGCATGCCAGGAATGCATAACTGGCCCTCAAACTGTTTATTGCTTAGACTGTTATCCCGAATAGCTTTTTCTACATCCTCAACCAAGTCTTGGGATTTACCACTACCATTTGCCACACTAAACCCACTGTCAATAACAGTTTCCCAAACTTCTTGACTGTTTTGAGCTGTCTCTTTAATCGCAACTTTGCCAGCTGTTGGCATTTCCCCTGTCTTTGCAGCAGTACTTGCTGGTTCTCCTAATGATGCATGAGCCACAGCTGAGCCATTAGCATCCTCTGGTGTGACATTCTCAACTTGCACACATTTTGCTCCAGTTTCCAACTTCTCTATTGGTTTGAACCCAGACTTGGAATCTGAAATTCCTTGTTTACCTTGATCAATGCCAAGTTCCCTATTTTCCTTTCTTATCTCATGTTCACAAGCCTGTTGGCACTTATCAGAAATTTCTACAATAGTTGTCACAGGCTCTTCCATGTTGCTGTCCTCCTCACTGGCAGGAATTGGTGATTTGGATATCTTTGCCTCCTTTGCATTTTTACCATCTAATGTTGGTTCCGGTGTTTCTCTTTTCTTGTTACCTCTCGATAACGAGTCACTCTTTTTCTCATTCATGGAAGCAATGGCAGCTGCTAGGGAAGGTGACATGCTTCTTGCTCGTGCACTTACTCGTGACGTTCTTCCTTTGAAACCAGGCTTGGTATCAGGCTCTTTAAACTCTTCCACAGGAGAGGGACTGGTGCTAGCAGACCTCTCATCTGATTGGTTGGACTGGAATAGAAAGGAGTGAATTACTTTTATTTTAACACGTTGAGCATATTTTTTTCAACTAGTAGAGATTACAAGTAGGGATGAAAGACAATGGTTATGGTGTGGTTCAATATCATCTCTTGTTTAAATTTTAATTTCCTTTCTTTCACGCTCATTATCATACATTATCACAACCAAAAACAAAGGAAAATAAAATTTAAACCAAACGTAAAATTAAACCACAACAGAATTTAAGGTGACTCGACCCAGTTTTTTTTAGGGGCTACCATCCTACTTTGAAGCTCTCTGGTATCCCCACCTTTACTTTTATCATAAGTCTAACACAGAGAATGGATAACATATAGATCAATCTACAATATAACATAAAATTTTTGGCGATCGGAGTAAATGTCACGTGGTTATAATGCCACGCCCCTTTGAGGTCTGAGTCGAAAATCTGCTGTTGCCGGCATTTTTTCGTGAAAATCTCTCGGCTACACATAGTGCGCATTAGTGCCTTGCGCTGAACAGAGTTTCACCAAAATCGCAAAGACCCAATTCGAGAAATTCAGCGGTTTCCAAATTTAGGTCATAATTTATGCGAAAATGATAAGCAAACTTTACACGGATTATATCTAATAAACTATGAGATTCATCTCTTTATTTTGGGCATCGTTATAACAGATGGGTCCTTGCAAGTCAGCAAAACGCTTTAGGGCCTTGTAAATGCGCGCGATTTCGAGCAAAGCAAACATATAGAAATTATAGTTTTCGCTATTTGTTGACGTTTGTCAGCGTTTAAGAGTCCTTCTCACGAAAAAAGCATTTTCTTAAAAATTCGTAGTTTTTTTTCCTTCAAATTTTTTCAGGGCCACAATTGATTAACTAACTACCCGGACTCTGAATTTCATGGTCATTGAAAAACTGTGACATTATCTTCTATAAGCCCAAACTTGAGTAAACATTGAAGATTTTTAGCGTTTTGGCTGAGTTTGTGCTTTGGGAGTTGTCTATTGTTTCTAGTCTGTCATTATACAGCATTCTTGTTCAGCACGCGTGCAATGACCACGCTTGGCTGACTTCCGAATGCTCACCGAGATATTCCCGTCACGAGTTGGTTTAATTATTGGCTTGCATTAAACCTATGAAAAAATGATATTTTTTTAATAGTAAGTAGATTTAGTGTGTAGCACTTCTTGATTTTTTTGCAAAGGCACAAGAAGCACGAGAATTGATTAAAAATTGTGACTTAAACCTCTATGTATCACGCGATGGCCTGTCTCACTGTACCAAAATTATTATATCTCGGTGAGCATTCGGAAGTCAGCCAAGCGCGGTCATTGCACGCGTGCTGAACAAGAATGCTGTATAATGACAGACTAGAAACAATAGACAACTCCCAAAGCACAAACTCAGCCAAAACGCTAAAAATCTTCAATGTTTACTCAAGTTTGGGCTTATAGAAGATAATGTCACAGTTTTTCAATGACCATGAAATTCAGAGTCCGGGTAGTTAGTTAATCAATTGTGGCCCTGAAAAAATTTGAAGGAAAAAAAACTACGAATTTTTAAGAAAATGCTTTTTTCGTGAGAAGGACTCTTAAACGCTGACAAACGTCAACAAATAGCGAAAACTATAATTTCTATATGTTTGCTTTGCTCGAAATCGCGCGCATTTACAAGGCCCTAAAGCGTTTTGCTGACTTGCAAGGACCCATCTGTTATAACGATGCCCAAAATAAAGAGATGAATCTCATAGTTTATTAGATATAATCCGTGTAAAGTTTGCTTATCATTTTCGCATAAATTATGACCTAAATTTGGAAACCGCTGAATTTCTCGAATTGGGTCTTTGCGATTTTGGTGAAACTCTGTTCAGCGCAAGGCACTAATGCGCACTATGTGTAGCCGAGAGATTTTCACGAAAAAATGCCGGCAACAGCAGATTTTCGACTCAGACCTCAAAGGGGCGTGGCATTATAACCACGTGACATATACTCCGATCGCCAAAAATTTTATGTTATATTTTAGATTAATCTATATGTTATCCATTCTATGTGTTAGACTTACCATAAAAGTAAAGGTGGGGATACCAGAGAGCTTCAGAGTAGGATGGTACCCCCTAAAAAAAACTGGGTCGAGTCACCTTAAAAAAAACATAACTTTCAACATGACTGGTATATACATGTACCCTGCAACAAGTTATCCACACTCAGCTATTTCAAGTTTGAAGCACACAACCTCAAAAATCTAGCACCTTGGGCTCCAGTTTGCTTCACTACTTTAGGCATCCTTCCAGTAACATCAAATGTAGTGGTTGGCATACTCATTATGTTGTGGTTAATTTGATTTTTGGTTTAAACTTTACTCTCTTTTGTTTCTAACTCATTCTCATACATTACCTTAGCCAGAAAGAAGGGAAAATGAAATTGACCAAGAGAAAAATGGAATAACTCATACACTACACAACAGTACATCTGTAGGATTGATACAAGATTCCAAATATGTGGGTTCCCTCATTACAAAAGCATACACAGTAGCTGATACTAATGTTTATGATAAGATACATACTTCCTCCAAGTGGGCATGTGCCTGATGATAGCGTAATCCATTGATATGCTTATACTTCTTGTCACAGCCAGGTTCTGGACACTCTATCAAGGTGGGAGATGGCTGAGGAGACACAGTTGTCTTCATTGTGCAGCTTCGCTTGCCAGGGCGTGGTCCATCCTCGTCATCATCCATATTTTTTGCTCTCCTCTTGCCAATGCCTTTGAACACTTGAGATTTTGGAGGTGGGCCATTGGCAGCTCCTTTCTTCCTGCCACGCAACTTGTGCTTTAAAGGTGTGGCTGCAAGTTGTGAAAGATACATTGTGCACAGGGTATTAAAAATCTAATCCAGATCACTACTGACACAAGTTAACTGGGAAATGGATGAAAACTATACCTTCTTTAACAACTCCTGTAGCAGACGACTCTGAGATGTTCTTCTGTCTTCTCTTTCCCTTTCCTCCCTTTCCTCCCATCTTTACTTCATTTTCACTTCCATCCGCTGCAGGAAACCTGTGAGAACAAAGAATGACAATTTTCAGGTGTGTGAAAAAAGGGAGGGAGGGATACTGCTCACAACATACAACATAACATACTGTTCACAACATACAACATACTGCTCACAACATACAACATACAACATAATTTATGGCACTGGTCTGATAAAACTACAGTGACAGGTGTTTTTACACTAAGACTACAGTATTGCCCTGTCATATAATGATCTGTAAGTCAATTCTTAGCTGGGGTCCAAGTACATTGTAACTTACTAGTACTTAATTTCGCGGCTAATTTAATTTCTTGAATTTGGCAAGAGAGTATTTCACAGGGTTTTATTTTCACAACTTCAGCATGCAAATATGAGAAAAGGGCATTAAATTTCACGATTTAGGCATTCTCAACGTCATTTTATTTGTAACAAATTTCTGAAAAATTTCAAATTTCTACTTAAACTGGAAAAGCAATAAGTGAAAACTTCACAAATTAGTGTTATTTCACTTACTCACAATACAAAACTGAGCTTACCAGCGTAACCAGTTTTGAATAAGTTATATTATTATAGATACATATCCTGTAAACTGTTGTTGCTATTTCAAGTTCATAATATTTTTTTCTGTGATTTAAATTTTTTACTTACGTATTTAATTTTGAGTGCTTAAATTTCATGAGGATTTATTTTTGCAAGTCTTTAATTTCACAAATTTTTGTAATCGCGAAAAACCCAAAATAAATTAAGTACCAATAAGGTACATCTACTAGCAGTAACAGATAGAGTCAGTGTTTTATCAGATAACTAGATTAATTCAAGTGGGTTAACCATCTAATGGCATACATTATACACGTAGGCTCTTGATTGTCTGATGCAGCTTCTCAATGTTCACATCTTGAAAACAATTATTAAATCATAATTGTGCAAAATTTGATGTCAAGAAGACCACATATCCAAGCCTCAGTCAAAGTAGTGATTTACTTAATATTCACAAACTTTGAAAATGTATGAACAGTACCTTGGGCTGGCCCATGCATGCTTGGAACAGTCTATCAGTGAGCCGCAATAAAACTTGTTTCTCCATTTGATATTTACAACCAATACCCCTAAAACAAACATTTCAGAAAACGCAACAAATCACAGTTTATTATTTTTAGTTAAAAAGTCACAATCGTTGGTATTATTATTTCTACAACAGCTAATTGAATTGTTGGATCTGAAAAAAAATTACCATAGTAAAAATGAATTGGCAGCTTTGGTCAGACATGAAGGACACTCACATTCAAGTGCAGTTTGTAGTTTTACTGAAGAATGTTAAAACGTATTACTTTTAGAAATGTGCTACATGTACATGTATCTACTCCTGGACCAGGTTGTTCAAACCACTATCCAGCAGGCCCCCATTGTTCAAAACCTGAATAGCGCTATCCACCGGATAAATCACTACCCAGTGGATAAATATTAGGGGAGCCAATTGCGCTATCCAGTGGATAGAGATTATCTGGTGGATAGCACTATCCAGCTTTTGAACAACTGGAGCCAGATACATTGTAAGATTAGGGAAATCAATTGTGTTATCCAGTGGATAGAGATTTATCTGGTGGATATCACTATCACCTTTTTGAAAAAGGTGTAAATCTACATTGCTGAAGACTCTAAAAAGTGATCTAAAATTCATGTTGACTTGATTTTTACAATGCAATATTGTTTATACTTGCATTTTAGAGTATTATTGAATTTTACAATACCATTAAAATTCGCTGAAACCACTCTACTTTCTCAGACAATGACAGGAAGAAACCTACTTTCCATTGCCTCAACTCCAATAAATTTGAAAAATTAAAGCCAAAAATATTACAGTAAATGAATTTGGTAAGTTATTGTAATAAGGTTATATATCATAGCCATCGCATACCAGAAAACTTAAGTTAGCCATACCTCCTATTTCATGACAGACTATCCCATGAAGTGTCACAGGAACCCCAGGAGACACTGAGGTTGAGCCACTCTCATCTCCAGGACACACTGAGTTTGGAAGCTTTTCAAGAAGATCAGCTAATGGAATATTACTGCCATCCAAGCCTGCCATGAAACTTTGCAATCCTGTAGGACACATCTGTTTGAACAAATCAAATAATTGGTTAATTCTAAAATGTACCTTTATCCATATTTTTGCAGTTTATTTTTATCTTTTTGTACACAACATTTTCCTGTTCTTATGTACAGTATGGCAATGACTCATTATGTAAAAGTTAGAGGACAAAAAAACAAGAAAGCAAGTGGTACTACATGTATGTAAAAGTACTGGCAAAGAAGTTTCATTTTATCCTTTCATGACTATGTGCTCTGGCGAAAACAGAAAGTGTCTAGCTGTTACACTACACACACAAAATCAAGCCAAACCATTAATCAGCTCTCTTTGTTAGGGAATGACTAGTACTGCAGGCTCTACTTTTCATATATGAAAAACCATTGTTATATTCCTAGACTTTCACTCAACTAAACAGGGACTGCCAATGGTTGATTTTTGGTCACATGGCCTTGACCAAAATCAAATGTATCCCAATTGCGATACATTTGAGCAATTGTAACCCGCTTGGGATACATTGCAGCACGTGATCAAAACATGGTGGAAAGAGGCGTGACAGAAGGCGGGGAAAACACTACCAGTTTTCTTTTTTGTGAATGAACACACAACAAACATGAAGCTTCAAGCTAAAAAGCAATGATTTTCAAAGTTATCCTAGAAGAGAAACAGCAGCTGGTGGAGGAAAAAGATGCAGATAATATGAGGAAAGTACTTTGTAAATCATTCATTCAGTGGTTTTGAGAATTAAATGTGTGTTGTATAAGCACCGAGTTGACTGATTTGATTTGCTCCAGTCATTCTTTTGTTGCTGTTGAAGTGAAAGTCTAGAAATATAACACAAAACTTCATGGCAGGTCCCACGGGAAGCCAGTTAGTTTTGTTTTCCCTCCAGTCCTGATGTTTTCCTCGACTTCGTCGTGGGAAACTTCAGGACTCTTGGGAAGACAAAACTAACTGTTTTCCTTGAGATCTGACATTAAGTGTATGATATATGCATTGCAAATCAAATGGTGCCCCCTTTCAACAATCTAGCTGCTAGAAGATTAGGAATTCATTTACATGTAGCAATGAAAAACCAAAACAATAATGAACAATGACTATCAACACTCAACAGTAGGGTGTTAAAGTAAATTTATGACTCTTTTGACTCTTCATCCCTACACTTTGGGATTGAAAACAGCACTAGATCATTACATGTACATGTGTGTGTATTTCTAGCTGTAGTGTAGTAATACCTCTTGATCATCCGGCTCTTGCTTAATCTTTTCTGTCTTTACACTCTTATCATTTCCATTTAATGAGATATCATCATCATCATCTTCATTATCCTCGTCCTCATCTTCATCTTCTCCTTCATCATCATCATCATCCTCATCATCATCATCATCATCTTCATCCCCGTCATCATCCTCATCATCATCATCACTTCCATTATCCTCTCCATTTCCATCTGCCCCAGAATTGCCACCATTGCTAGAACTGTTCTCATAATCTCTAGTACTTTTGGATATTTTTCTCCCGCGATTTCGACTGTTGCCTTGAGACTTTTGATTGTAGTCCTTGTTATCACTTTTTCTTCTACCGCGACTGACAGCTTTCCCTCCCTTTGATGCCTTATTAGGACTCAAACACTTATCACCAACCGAAGATATGTCACCTTGGTTACCCACTGCTCCATTCTCACTTGAAGGTGAAGATTTATCCAAGGAACCATCAGTCTCTCCGAATTCTTTTTTGATTGTCTCGATACTTTTCAAAGATGATGGTAAACACACGTCATCTACTCCTTGAATTGAACTTCCACACCTGCTCTGGTCACCTTTCAAAGCATCCTCTTTTTTTACTCCATCACCTTGTACATCCACTGTGTCTAATTTTCGCTCAAGGTCTTTAGCATGAGGTGCACAGGATGTTAAACCAACTGAAACCGTCATTGTTTAAATTCAAGGGCTAGCAGACTGTTTGTAACTCATGCAGAACACATTTACTTGTCACGACTCTGAAAAACAAAAACCAAATATTTATGAAATTAATATGATAGTATTGAATGGGTGCCTGTAATAAAGCCCCACATGACAATCTGATAAACTGATAGATTTTCTCCCAGTTTACCTTGTATGTGCCTATAACTCAATTCAAAGGGGAAATTGATATTAGATCAGCAGTCACTTAAGGGCCTTATTCCACACAGTTTTCTTTAACCTTCACAAAGTATATAATAAATATTTATCTTACCATAAGAAAAATGTGGAGCACATTGCGAATACGAAAAGGGTTATGTCTTAATATTAGTTTGGAAATCAATTTGACAAAGAGTGCTAGTGTTCCACATGACAGCAAACATGTACATGACTGTCGTTTCCTTTCAATATCAGAGTCAAGGCATGCCAACAAAACAATGTGTGGGATAATTTCAGGAAATAACTAAGGGCATCAAGATCAAGTACTTATAGACCCCACATTATTATATTGCAAAGCATGTGGTGTTCATGCTTGAGTGACATTCTTTTTCAGTTAGACGGTTCATGACATCCAGACAAATATAACATTCTTGAGAACTCTAAAATTAATTACAGGAAGTTAAAATGACCGCACTTTGCAGCTATTGGCTCAATATTCTCTCTAGCATGTTACAATGCCTGACCATCAATATACACTGCCTGCATACATAAGGCCAGAGGTAGTTTAAAATCCTTTGTTTTGCCCAGTCACCAAAGAAACCCAAATCAAGAGCAATATTGTTTATAAAAGTGCACATGGACTTTAACATATACCCCCAGGCAATCAGTTAATATTTTACAAGAATAAATCTTCGCAAAAACTGTTTGAAAACACTGCCGACGTACAGGATATCTAATAAAATTGAATGCCTTTAAATTAGTTTTATTTTTGTGTTAAACGAAACTAAAATTTAATTTCAGTCCAGTTTGTCCTCTTGAGAAAACATACATGTACATGTAATTGTCTCTTCTTCAAATTAATTCTTTGTTTCAATTTGAGTCATCATTTTGTCATTACAATATTGGCCATAAAACCAAAGAATACTTGCCATGCATACATGTACTTGGATCAGAAGACCTGAATATTACATGTATGGCTCTAATGACCAAGTTTTTCTCTCTTATATAAATAAATAAATACTCTTTGATTACAGTGCAGACACAAAGCACCTGAGTATGTTACGTTGCCATTGTGAGAACCTGATTACATGAGGTAAAATTATTATTGCTTCTCTTAGTAAATCTAAAACCTTAACACCAGGCATTAAACATGCACTATTTAATGTTTAAAGAAAGGCAATAAATTAGCAACATTAATAAAACCTTTGTATTAGCATATTAGTATAAGTATTCTGCCCCATGTGACCATAAATGCCTAATTTTGACAGTGTGGAGAGATTGGGACTATAAACCAAGACTTAATCTTTTCAAAAGCCACAAGATAAATGTTCTAAAATCACTGTCTTTTGTAACTTGTGCATTGTGATTGTTTTTTCTTCACTAAGAAGTTAGCTACAAAGTAGAAGCAACAGTATTCTCATAGGCAAGAAAAAAATTAAAGCCACTTGAAATTTTTCAGTATTCAGACTTTTGAGAATGTATTTCATGGAACAACATACGATTGAGATCACCATGGTAAGTGTAACTATTAATTTAGTTCTAGGAGTGAAAGGTACTGGACATAATGAACAACTCTATCAGAAATCTACTTTGAGATAACTGATGAAACAACATTATTACAGACTTATTTATAAAATAATAGCAACATGTTGTTAACATGTTGATATACAAGGGTTAAATGAGTTACCTTACTTAGCCAGTTCATGCATTGCAAGGTATGAAGAAAAAAGAAATACACCTGTAATTTTGTGATGTTTATAAATCTCTTGCATTTAATATTTCATAAAAGATAAGAGCATTCCATGATATTACATTTGTAAAATAAGAAACTAGCAGATAAGACTACTAAAAATTCATGAGAATGAGATTTTTTAAGGTCTACATGGGAAAACGGTTCTAAGAATAGTAATCTTTGAATGTGTCTATTGAAAGAATCATGCTGTTTTAAATATTTATCAAACAAAATGCAAATTTGTTACAGGTCACTTGACAAACACAGTTGCGTAAGCCATGCTTCATTTCATTTTCAATTGCCTGGGAATATTAAATAGTTAAATTTTCAACTACATTTCACCAAATAAAATCTGGAGAAAACACTTCAGCTATACTAGAATGCATTACAAATATGATCTATAACAATATTAGTGTGTGACTACCTGTAATATGATATTATTTTTACATTCCCCAAGCTGAAGTTTTACTTTTCAAATATACAATAGATACAATACAAAGGCCCTCTAGAACAATTAACAATGGTTATCACATGAGAGATTGTCACTGGTTGCAAGGATGTCCAAATAACAAAGTCAACCAGGCCTCTGGGAAAAACACTAAAGACAATAGTCCACATAAGATTTAGATAAACGTTTAACTAGATAGGCAATATCACGTTATTTGAAATCTTCATCAAAAAAATTTTGCAGCCAATAAGTCCGTGATAAGTTGCAATTCTATTTTAACGAGCGAACAAGCGGGAAACAATTTAAAATCAGGAGTTAAATCCTTTTTCTTGTGGTTTTTAAATCATTACTGTTCGATCGAAAAGACATGTAAAATTAACAGGATGTTTTTACAATGGCTAAAAATGGCTTAAAAGGTAATCCCAAAGGACGTACAAAAAGTGTAATTGCTTCAATTGATTGAAAACCTGAAAGGCTGTCTGGGTAGAATCTTGGGGCTAACTCCATAAAATTCTGTAAAAGGGATTAAATACTTTAATCCCGTTGTAGGAAGTTTTATAACATACCAAACGATTTTCTTTCAAATTAACGAAGTATGTGACATAAAATGCAACCTAATCAAAGGATTTAGCTTTATCAAAGCTTTGCTTACGTCAGTGTCTTGCTTGAATTGTTCAAAAGCGTAAAAACAATATATGCTGTCCACCGCGGTTAAAATTTCCGCTATGGAGAGCACGGTGTTATTTTCAAAATAGCACATTTCAAAATGATGGAAACAGATGGGAAGGAAATAAAAACACTGACGAAAACAGACGTATGCAAAACTTTTCCGACCGTCAAAGGATTTGCGAGTCCGACAACATGTATCAAGTTATCAAAACAAAATATCAACACATTTTAATAGCTCGACCGTTTATCGGCTCCATCAAATTGCTTGTAAATTTGAGAAAATTGAAATTGAAACATTTTATTGCGAAGCCGATATTCAATTTACTGACCTTTAATTTTTTCTTATATAACTGGGGCGCGATCTTGTTTACGTGAACTATTCCCCCGTGTGGTCGTAAGCTAAGTTCTTGGTCATGTCCGTTCGCACTCAGGAAAAAAAACAACGTATGCTCATTATAACGCTTACCTTTTAATACAGCACGTATAGCAATCATCTGCCTCAAAAAGTGGAAACTTCGCAACAGTATTAGCCTGCAAATTAACAAAGAAAGTGTTTAAGCCTGTATAAAGTCTTATCAAACCATGGTGTAAAAGACGTAGCGTGGGCCACTCAAATGGGTGGGCAACAAAGATCGCTTCGACAACAATCAGAATGTAAAATTTAGAACATGAATGTTACTCTTGTCGTATTAAAACAACGTCTACGACTAGGGCCTATTTAAGTAAGTTAGCGTGCAATATACTGATTTTTCGGCGAAAGTGATAAAATTAGAAATTCAAATCGCCACATAGCTGTTTGTTATTCATAACATTACATATTCGACGATCACTCCTGTAAAATTACTGTTTTCGCCATTCAAACGAAAGAAAATTATCTTGAAACAACACCCTAACAGAAGCTTTGGCAATTTAAATCCATTAACAGAACCATTTCCCTTTCAAACTCCTTAATTCCTGAGTTGTTCACGATTTTACAGTTCACGCCATACATATACAGAGATACTTGAAATACCAATTGGCTCAAGACGTAGATAATAAAAAACCATAAAATGTGATGCAAACCTCGCAAAGCTTCGTCCTCTTAGTTGTAATACCAAGACCAACTCGTTACAGATCCAGTTTCACCAAAAGAGGCGTTTTTCGCCCGAAAATAAAGATTTTACAGCGTTTTAAACAGGACGACTGAAAAAAGATGCCAGCTACAAAAAGGGTCGGGCGGGATTTGAGCCACAAAAGCAATCAGCAACCGAACTGGCCAATCAGAAAGCTCAATTATCTTGTCACGCTTCACACGCTATGTCACCGCCACGGGTCGCCGATCAAATACAAACGCTGTTTCTGTTTATTTTTTTTACATGTAATTTTCTTCTCCACGAAAAATTATCAACGTTATTTTCAATTGATGAATGCTGAAATAGAAAATCCTTTTCTGCGAGAGGGCAATATCTCCCAGCGTTATCGAGGAAAATAGAAGCAGGAACGCACTTGCGGAACTTTTAGACGCTAAATTTGGAACCGGTCTGACAGCTATAAAAGCTTCGAACTTCAACACTGCTGACAGACATAAACGCTCTCGAGTCTTAAGAAATTTCTTTCTAAATAAGTATGAAAATCCCAAACAGCTCCATACCCAGACAAGAATTAATTTTGTGTTTTTTGTGGCATCCCGGTAATATATTTCGCATACTTGCGGGTAGAAATTAAATTTATATCTGCCTTACCAGGGTGACAAAATAACACTTTCGGGGTGTGACGATGACGAGAAAAATAATCCCTAGAGGACATGCTCTGGATTAATGCCAGTCATAATACTATTGTTTTGGAGCAGTCGAGGATAACATCCTTCAACAAGCCTCTAGTAGTTTCTATTGACAATGTAGAAAGGTGCCCTTGGTTAGTCATTGTGGAAAGCCAATATTTCCGTGAAAGCCACTTTCAACCCAATTAGATACCATCGACGAATTA